TCTTCGGTGTTCATTGGAAGGACTGATGTTGAAGCTGAAACTCCAATACTTTGACCACCTGATGCAAAGAGCTGACTCATTGGAAAAGACCCTGATGCTGGGAAAGATTGAAGGCAGGAGGAGAAGGGGATGACAGAGGATGAGATGGTTAGATGACATCACCAACTCATTGGACATGGGTTTGGGTGGACTCCAGGAGTTGGTGATGGACAGGGAGGCCTGGAGTGCTGTGGTTTATGGGATCGCAAAGAGTTGGACACAACTGAGCGACTGAACTGAACTGAACTGAAAACATCTGAGATGAATTGCAGTATGACTAAGGTAGTGCTGTCTTGATGGAAAGATGGAGTGTGTGGGGCATGGATTGGGTTAGACCCTGAGGAATTGTGTTTAAGTCTCAAACATTGACCTGCAGATAGGCAAGTGACTGGGCCAAGATCACACAGATGGTGAAGTGACAGAAATTCATCTTCTGATTCCAAGATATTCCAAGATAGCCTGTGTCTTCTGTTGGAGTATATCAGCATAGCGTAGTTTATAGACATCTTCTCTGAAGACTATTCAACCTTCTTAACATGGTTTTGGATTCCCTAATAGGGGTTTGAGAAGGCTTATGGAACAATCAACAGCATAAACACTGATGCACAGTAGTTTGCTTTTAAAGACATTTTGTATAAAAATAAAATACTTGAAGAAAGAAGTCATTGTATTAGAAGTTGTTGCATTAGAAAAAAGGAAATGTTGAAGTTACTTTAGATTAGGAATATAAAATGGGTAAATGTGTACACATAATTAAAGTGTATCCATTTAAGGTGTAGGACTGCATCTAAATTAGCTATAAAATCATAAGGATTTTTAAAAAAATTAGGCTGGTATGCATTCTCTTAATCCAGTAGATAATGCTTTATTGTCAAAGTTAGATCAGAGTAAAAACAAAAACTTAATTACTTTTTATTGTATTAGCAGTTGGTGATGGACAGGGAAGCCTAGTGTGCTGCAGTCCATGGGGTCACAAAGAGTCGGACACAACTAAGTGACTGAACTGAACTGAACTGAACTGTATTAGCAACGACCAGTTAGAAGTTTTCATGAAAAAAGTCCATTCACAATATCAGTGACAACATCAGCAGCAACAAAAACACAAAAGTGAAATGTCTGAAAATAATCCAAATGAGATAGGCATGGGACCTGTACAAGAAACATTAGTAAACATGAATAAGAAAAAACATCAATTTTCCTGTTGGAAAATGTGGAGATTGATTATCAAGATACCATTTATAAAAAAGGACATACAGATGATTAGTAAATATGATATTTGTCACTTATAACCAAAGATTTGAAAAATAAACTAAGAGATTTCATTTTAATTTTAAATTGGCAGGTTTTAAAAATAATTACATAAAAAATTTTAAAAATGAAAATAATCCTATTATTCCACATTTCCTGAGGGACACTAATATGGCATTCTCGTACAATGCTTGTGGGAGTATAAATTGGCAAAGTTGCTTTCAAATTTATCAACATGTTTAGTGTCTTAAAATATTGATATGCTTCTCATATCTAGAAATGTATTCTAAAAAATTATCACAGATGCTGATAAAGATTTGTGTGTGAGGATATTTATTGCAGTGTTATTTTTAATGATGAAAAACCTGAAATACATTATATATGTATAGGTATGATAGGAAATGATAGGAAATGATTAAATAAATTATGGTCCATTTCTATACTTGAATCCTATTTAGCCACTAAATATATTTATGAAAAATATTTAATAACACAGGGAGTTGTTCATGACACGATGGCTTAAGTAAAAAATTGCAGGTGACAAGATTGTTCTTGGGTTCCATCCCTTGTGTTGCTTCCCTGAACAAGGAAATGGCAACCTACTTCAGTGTTCTTGCCTGGGAAATCCTGGGGACATAGTGGCCTGGAAGGCTACAGTCCATGGGGTTGCAAAGAGTTGGGCATGCCTTAGTAACTAGATCAGCAACAACAATGTATGTTAGTTTACTGGGGCTGCCATAACAAAATATTTCAGACTGGGTGGCTCAAATAATAGAAATTTATCTCTCAAGGTTCTGGAGGCTAGAAGTCTAAGATCAATGTGTCAGCAGTGTTTTTTTGTTGTTTCTTCTGAGGCCTCTCTCCTTGATTTGCAGATGGTTGCCTTCCTCCTGTGACCTCACATGGCCTTTCACTGGTGACTTTCTGTGTCCTAATCTCCTCTTCATATAAGGACATCAGTCAGATTGGTTTAGGGCCCACTCAAATGGCCTCATTATAACTTAATTATCTTTATTATTGGCCACATCTCCAAATACAGTCATGTTCCCAGGTACTGGGGATTAGGGCTTCAATGTGATTTTTTGGGGGCAGGGAGGTAAAGAGTCAGTCCATAACATTGTAATTCTGATTTTATTTAAAAATAGAGTGCACTTCCCTGGTGGTAAAGTGGGTAAGAACATCCCAGTCCTGGAAGATCCCACATGACTAGGAGCAACTAAGCCCATGAGCCACAACTACTGCACCCGCTCTATAGAGCTCTTGAGCCTAAACTACTGAAGCCCGTGTGCTCTGGGGCCTGGGAGCCATAACTCCTGAGCTGCAACTGGTAAATAACTTCGCAGATGTACAAATCTAAGTCAAATGGATCTTTGAAGATGGCCTATGGCAAAGTCTCATCTCATTGGGCTTCTTTATTCATTACCTTGGATGAAGCAATTTTCATTAATGGTAAAAAGACTCATAATTTTTTGGATGATGCCATACCATATTTTATAGGGGAAATATGCGATAATAGTAGTTACAAAATGGATGCTCTATCTTCAATAAATATGTAAATAATTAAAAACTATTAAATGTTAAAGAGGTTATTTGAGTGGTGCAATAATACATTTAAAAATTTTATTATTTTTTATGGTAACTGCTAAAGCCAGCATGTATCACTTTTACATGTTGTTTAAAAATTATTGAAAATATTCCACCTGAAAATATGGGACCAAGTTGGTGTGCTCAATTGCATGCTTTGTGATTCTTTAATTTTTTAAAAAAATTCAATTCAATTTGTTTCAACAGTTATTTGTTGTGCCCCTACACTGTGCGTTGTGCTATGGTTTAAATCTCCATGGGACATCATCTGACCTGTCTGAAAATTCTTACTCTAGTTAAGGAGACAGAAAACCACTCTGCAGCTGATTGTAAAAACTGTTTAAATAAAGTATGAAAGTCTGGAGGAAGAACTGATAAAGGTAACTTCGTTTTAGAGTTAAGTCTTGAGGATAAGAGTGAGAATTCATCATTCCAAAAAGGTGAAAGACAATCAGGCATGGAGGTATTTATTCCCCCTTTTACTTATGTACTTAATCATTTGCTTATATCAATATAGATCATGGCTATTTATATTTTGTGCTATAACCCATATCTTTTTGTGTGTGTGTGGATGTGCTTTCTTTGCTCAATAAAATGTTATAACTTTCAAAGTCAACAGAGGTGAATATCAAAACTTTTAGTGGTTGTGTAGTACAGATGCATGCTTTTGCTTCCACTTTTTATTTCCAATAGCGCTGGAATAACATCTTTGTACATTCATTTTTGTGCACTTGTGTGACTATTCTTTAGTTTACCATTCTAATCCCATCCTCAAGACATATTATGCTTGATTTTTGTTCCCTGCTCCTCAAGCATACCCTGCCTCCTTAGCTTCCGCTGTCTCCTCTACCTAGAACACTCTTCCTCTATCTTTGCCCAGAAAAGCTCCTAGTATGATTCAGGGCTCAGCTCAAAGGCTGTTTGCTGTAGAAGTTTTTCTCTAATGTTTTGAAGATAATTTAATGGCTCCATTTCACTTCTCCTTGTTGTATATGTATTGTAACACTTACTATGTGACACTCCTATTCTATCCCAGGACTTCTTCCTACTAGTTTTTGAACTGGTAGGGGCAGAAATGTGATCAATCACACTCATTTATGGACTCCATCATAAAGTAATTAGCATATTTTGACTTTGAAGTTAAGAATTTGAGTGACTGAGAAATTAAGAATTGTGCCCAATATTATACAATTAGTTACTCTTCATTTCTTTTACGTACATGGTTGCTCCATGCTTTAAGGAGACAGAGAAGTTGAATATAGGTGCTAGTTTTTGTCTGAAGTGCAAACAACGGTGCTGTAGTTTAAAAGTAATGTTTTCTAGCTCTCTGTCAAAAACGTTTGTTACTTGAAGACTTTGATACAACAGTCTGTGTCTTCCAAAATGAGCCTGTTCAATATGCCAAGTATTCATAGGAAATCACATATGAATGCAGGATATATTAAATAGGGCCTCTGATCTTTCTGACTCCCCTTTTAAGTCAGCAGTTGGCATAACATATCTTATGTATTATAATTAGTAATTAGAGGTGAACGCCAGAAAACAACAACAACAAAAAGAAAACAAAGGGACAATGTTTGCTGGTGAGGCTGTCAGCGGACTGAGGCTAAAGAAGGTCCCATTCTGTGGTCCCAATGACCCAGTGTAGCCTGCACCTAGCAGCAGACGTGCCCCTTCCGTTAACACTTTCTGGCGGACTGACCTACCCATCTGTGACCCCCGCTGGAGAGGAGGAGGCTCGCCGGCAGGCGCGCGCGCAGACATCGCCACCCGCAGGCACCTGGGTCGCGCGCCGCGGGAGGGGGGTGGGCCCCCCGCGTTCTCCCGAAGCCCAATCACCGGGAGATTCCGGGGCAGGTCCCGCCGCCGACCACGCCCCCAGGAGGTGGGCCGGGGCGGGGGGGGGGGCGTCTTTAAGAGCTGGCGGTCCGGCCTCCTGCTGAGTCCGGGTGCGGGGCTGTGGACCCGGAGGTTCGAGTGTGAGCCCGGCGCCGCCCGCTCACGGGGGCCTCCACCACTTTCGCCTCGGCCTCGCTAGCCGGCCAGCCCAACTCGGCGGCTCCTCCGCGAGCCCGCCGGGAACTCGCGCCCCTCGCGCTCCCCGGCGCCCGAGGGGGCCGCCCCGGGCCATGGTGCCCTCCCAGGAGGAGCCCGCCGCCGCGCGGGGGACAAGCGAGGCGCAGCAGCTGGGCTCCGCGCCTCCGGGGGCCGCTCCGCTGCCCGGCGCGGGACCCTTAGACAGCCCGGAGGCGGCGGCGGCCGAGAAGGTGGAAGTAGAGCTGGGTGGGTCGGTGGGCGCCGAGCCCCTTGAACCCCCTGAGGGCGGCTGGGGTTGGTTGGTGATGCTGGCAGCCATGTGGTGCAACGGGTCGGTGTTCGGCATCCAGAACTCCTGCGGGGTGCTCTTCGTGTCCATGCTGAAGACCTTCGGGTCCAAGGACGATGACAAGATGGTCTTCAAGACAGGTGAGGCACAGCGCCCGCCGCGGCCAGCCCCGGGGGATGGGCGCGGGATGCATCCCGTGTGTGGCGCGAGCTTCTGCGCCGCCTGGTGCGCCCCTGCGGGTCCCTGTGTGTGGAGGGTGTGAGGGGTTGGGTCTGTCCAATTGCAAAAGCAGCCTGAGGCTCCCGGGGCCTCCGTGCGCCTCTCTTTGTGTAGAATCCAGATGTACGGACTGTATTTGGATACAAGTCACAAAACTTATTTGCCTAGATCTTCCTGCTTCCCCTTCTGCAGGATAGAGGCTGAGTCTCTGGTAGACTTTCTCTTAATTTTTGAAAACAAACAGACCCTTCCAAAGCCAGTTAGTTACACCGCTCCGTTATTTTTACAATCTCTTTCGTGACCGTGACGGTTGGGTTTTTGTTCTGCCCCCGGCGTTGCAGAGGACTGTGTGTGTTGGGGGGAGGCGGAGTTGGCGAGATGAAAGATCTGTATTGCAGGGACTCGGGAGTTCTGAAGGGAGCCCTGAAGGAAACACGGTTTCGTGCTGGGTTTTTTTTTTTTTGGGGGGGTGGGGGAAGGGGGGTGTCACTCTGCTAAATATAGAAAGCATAGGAGGCGGCCAGATCTGGGACCGGGAAGAGGAAGGTGAAGGGTTGCCCTTTCCTGTTGTATTCTTTGTCATTTTTAATCATATACCAAATTAGATGAAAAAGGTGCAGACTCAACATTTTTTTTCTCCTGTAAATGATTATTACCTGATCTACTAAGTCCAAGACCTTCTGTATAACTCTTTTACATGCATTATTTCATGTCATCCTGCGAGGCAGGCGTTATCAACCCCTTTTAGGCGAGAAAAGTGAAGCTTGTTGAAATCAAGTGTTTTAATGAGTCCAGAATGGTGATGAAACATATCTTATTTAAAGGGCCAGGTGATTTTCATTAGTAAAACATGCTCCCTCCTTGCCATTTGGGCAACTCTATGTGGTTAATGAGGGCTTCCCAAGTGGCTCAGTGGTAAAGAACCCACATGCCAATGCAGGAGACCTGGGTTCCATCCCTGGGTTGGAAGTTCCGCTGGAGAAGGAAATGGCAACCCACTCCAGTGTTCTTGCCTGGGAAATCATATGAACAGAGAGAGAAGCCTGGTGGGCTACAGTCCACAGGAGTCGACCATGACTTAGTGACCAAACAACAGCGACATATGGTCCTTTTTTTTTAACCTTAATTTTCAATTATTTTTAGAGTATGTTTTCCTTAGCTCTTTAGTGTGCATACAAAAAAAATATGCTAGTCTGTTATGAAAAATTCTAAGGGAGAGGTAATGTTGGGAGTTTTAAAGACTGATATTAAAGAGTATTATACTGTTGTTCTGCAGCTTTTCTTCTAGTTTGCGTTGTGTTTGCAGTTTATCCCCATAACTTCTCAGTATGAGCTGATAACTTAAATTCCTTACATTTTAATGCTTAGTTTTCCATTGTATGAATGTATTATACTTTATATGCATTCTTTCTTTAATAAACATTTAGGTTACTTTCAAAATTACTATAGACAATGCTGCCATGCATATTCTTGTACATTGTTTCCTTGCACATGTGAATCAGGTATCATATTTAACCTGGAATTTATGTTCCTTAAAGAGCTTTTGAAGCTGTTGTGTTCTTCAGGTCACACAGCTAGGTACAGAAGTGTTCAAAATATAATATCATGTACTTGCTTGGCAGGATAGATATGCATATACAGTAGTAAACAAAAATAACTGGATTTTCTCTATGAGTAGCCAGCATCTGGGAGAGAAAAGTGCACTCAGGCAGAATTCAGAGTCAACATTTTAAGACTAGTTCTTTCAGAATTTAGTATATTCTTGCCTGGGATTACACTTTTATTGCAGTCGGAACACCAAAACAAAATACTCATTTGTTTACCACAGGTTTTGCAAACTCAGGTGAGTAGATCCATTGTTTGTGAAATGTCTTATTTTTTTCTCCTTCCTAACTTTTTTTTTTTTTGAGAGCAAGCGAGTGGTGAGCAAGCGAGCGAGCAGCTGCTGGAGAGACCCTAGTTTCGTCAGCAATCCAGAGTTTCGTGATGTCGAAGCCTCTGTCTCTTTGGTCCCAAAGATTCCCAGTGACAACGATAGCCCAATTCTGGGTAGCTGAGGGGTAGGGAGGCCACAGGGGCCCATTCTCTTCAACGTTTTGGAAACTCTGTATTTTCCTTTTTGATGAATATCTTCATTTACTCAGTCTTGACGGCCTTTCAGGCTTGTTTGTGTGTGTGTGGGTGTGTACGCCACAAACAGGTACACAGGTGTGCACATCGAATAGTAAAGACTTTGTCTGCCTGACTGCCGCATGTGGTTGGTTGCAGCCTTGCGCCAAGGGGCCCAGCGCAGGGTCAGTGCTGCCTGAGAACCAGCCTGCGCTCTGGGTGCTCTCTATCTCATTCCTGCAGGGGGGCCCCGTGGAACACCCCAGCGAGATGGCCTGTACTTGTACTTGGTTGATACGTGAAACATGTACAGCAGATAAACTTTAAGGTCTGAGGTCACCTCTTCGGTGAAAAAATGGAGACTGGATAGCCTTTAAGCCAATGAATGTTTAGATTCCTGCCCCCCCGCCCCCCACCTTTCTGCCTTTCCCTCCTTTTTTCCCTCCCTTCTGCCAGCTCTCCCTCCTTTCTCTTTCTCTCTCTCTCCCCCCACTTTCTGTCTGTCCCTCCCTTCTTCCCTTTCTCTGTCTCTTCCCTCATTTAGTGTCTCTTTTGCTTCCTTCCTCCCTCCTCTTCTTCCCCGTGTCCATTTGCATCTCCCTCTGCGCATGCGCTCTCTCTCACACACATACGTACAGGTGTTTCATGTAAAGTCTGTATCAACAACAGGTACTGAAGGGTTTGAGAATGCTTGCTTTGAAGTTTGACTCTTCAGGTTTTTTGTTTTGATATTCTAATGCTGAGTCTTCTGTGATCAAATGTATGCTAGCTTCAGGTACAATATAAAACATAATCTGGAATTATTTAAAACTTAATTTTTCAAAGTTTTGGTGCATTTTCTATTACCTTGTTGATGATTGATAATTCTGGTGTTAGAGGTCTGTGTTAGACAGTTCATTCTGTCTCCACGTGCTCATTAGCTTCGTCATAGTTAAAAGCTCAAGGGTGCCCAGGGAGGTGGTGGTGGAATGGGAACCTCGGTTTCCAAACAATGGTTTATATTGCTTGAGAACCTCCCATGTGCCAGGCCCAGTGCTAAGCACGTTCCATGCTTTCGTATTTTAAACCTTAGTGTGACTGCATGAGATAGGCTTTATTTAATCTTCCTTTTCTGATGTGGAAACTCAGGCTTATGGAGATTAAGTAAGCAGTGGAGCCCAGGGTTCAACCTCAGGTTTATCTGACTCCAGAAGCTAGGTTTTTAATGACTGATCATATTACATGGGTTGGATAACATTCTGGTAATGCGTCGTTCTTTATGTTTGATTAATTCAAGTTTTAGAAATTGATAACTATATAGGAATCCTGGAGTTAGAAAAGAAGTCTGAAAGATCAGGATCCCTGTTTCTTGATTTCACTTGGCTGTCAGTAAGCAATTGCCAGTTGTTAATGTCTCATTGAAATAGATTTTTGGGGGTTCCCTGGTGATCTAGTGATTAGGATTCAGTGCTTTCACTGCAGTGGCTCCAGGTTCAATCCCTGGTTGGGGAACTGAGATCCTGAAAGTTGAGGGGTGCGGCCAAAATTTAAAAAAAAAAAAAGATTTTTGAAGTATAGGGAGATATTCATGGGAAAGTAAGATAATTTGTTACAGTGTTCAAGCCAGAGTCTGGAGTTTCCTGTGAAGAACCAGACTCCTTTAGACTGATCCATAACAGGACAGTATTTCCAGATGTTAAGTGAAGAGGAGACTTCCTCAGGCTTTCCTTCTGCTCCTAAAGGCTCTCTTATCTCGTTCTGTGCCACTGATGATCCTCCCACAATTTCTCAGGAACAGACATGGAGAAATTCATTCATACTAAAATATAAGTGAGTTTACACATCTTAATGTTACTCCTCATTCATTCTACCAATGTTTACCCAGTATTTGACACCCTGTGTGCTGGGCATAGAAGGAGGTAATTGAGATAGACAAGGTCAACTGTCCCCAAGGAGCTTTTGATCTGCTGTGGGATACAAAAGTAAATAGAGTATTTCTCTTTGCAATATACCAGGACACAGGCTTAGGGAGATTAAGAGGCTGAAAGTCTAAGGAAATTCCCACGAATGGTGGAGGCTGGGAAGAACATCTGATGGCCTCGTTCCCTGTGGCAGTGAAACTAAGACTTTGGAAAGGGGAAGAAAGCTGAACTCGGGTGGAGTGCATCACAGCCCCATCACGTTATCCTGGCTGCTGATGACATGGCACTCAGAGATATGCCCTGCACTTACCGCTGTGTTAGAAAGGTCCATCAGAGGGAGCAAGCTGAGCTTGAGTTGTCTCTCTTCAACTAAGTTTTTAATCTGTTCGTATGTGCCTGCTTCTTGCCCAGGTGGGCGGGAATCAGACACTTTTGGGAAAACTGGAACAGATAACTATAGTTAACTGGAACATTGTTTTCCCTTAGAAATTACAATTTAGAAATTATAATTATTGGAAAACCTATTTTTAGTTTTTTCGTGAAACTGAAAAAGATTCTAGGGTTCTTTTAGTGCTGTGGACACTCTCTGGGATCTTACTAAGGTATTAGTCTAGTTTACTTACCTGCTTTCTTCTTGGAAAAAGAAAAAATACTTTAGTGGTATGTTCATATTTAAAAACATCTATTTAAGACAAGTATGTTTTCAGAATCAGTATTTAAGGTCACTAACGATATTCTTTTGAAGAAATTACGTTACTCTGCTCCAGAGGCTGAGTCAAGACGACCCCTACTATTTGCAGTAATTCCGAGAATGTGTTCTTTAATAGCCGTTCTTTAACATAGAAGCCTGTGGTTAAATAAGTTTGGGAAATGCTGCACATTATCGTCGTCTTTTGGATATGCCAAGTACA